CCACCGCGGGGGAAGAGCTCCAGGTAGGCGCTCATGGCCCGGGGCAGGGCGAGGGCGAGGGCCCGGCTCTGCCCGCACCGCCCGCCACGGCCATGGCACCGCCCCGCGCGGGCAATATTGCCCTAATATAGGGCCGGCGGCCGGCACGTGCTGCCCCGCGGCCAATCGCAGCCCGAGCCCGCGGCCCGCCGCAAACTTTGCCGGTGCGGGACTGACTGCGCGGGCAGCGCCAGGACGGGCACGCACACGAGCACGCACCCCCACGCACGCACACACACGAGCACGCGCGCACACGTCTACGCACACACGAACTCGCAGTCACGCGCATGAACACGCACGCACACACGCGGCCCCACGGACGCAGGAAAGCGCGCACTCATACACGCGCACCCCCCCACGCATACACACACAGGAACACGGGCTCACACATACTCTCGCGCACACACATGAACACGAACACGCGCACACACGAACACACACACGCTTACACCCGCAGCCGCACACACGCATGAACACGCAGGCACACGAACACGCGCGCGCACACGCACACGCGCGCACGGCCTGGCGGCAGCCCCGCAGACAGGGGGAAGGGGGTGCCCGGCTGCCCCGGCCCCTCCCCCGCTCCCAGCTCTGCCAGCCCAATGCGCTGACGGGACCCTAAGGAGCCCCCAGCCCCCCAGTGCAGGCTGGTAACTGCGCTGATCCGAGCGCGGGGCACAAGTGCAGGGGACGGGGACTAACGAGGGCCAGGCCCTGCTCGCTGCGCTTAGGCCTTTGCCCAGATGCCCGGCTGGGCCTGGCATTGGCGCCCCTGCCGCGAGGACCAAGAGCTCGCCTTGTCCTTCCTAATCCCCTGCCTATGTCGGGCAATACAGGCGCCCCCGCCCTGGCACTCGGGTCCTCTGCCCTGCACTGGACTCGCGAGTTTCGTGTCTGCTAGGGCAGGGGAGCAGCTGTCCCCTGCTTTCCCGGGTGCCCAAGTTTTGGGGAGTAATGTGCCTTTCCCGCCTGCCTGCCATCTCGGCGCTAGCTGGGACTCAGCTGTGCGTGTGCTCCCTCTCCGAGAGGCACTTCATCTTTGCAGATCCGAAGGAATCGGAGGTTAAGATGCATCCGGAAGCCAGTCCAGATCTGAAGGGTTTGGATGCTATTGTGCCTCCCAGCAATTAATGGTTCTGCTCCAGCAGATAAGTGCTTTGTCGTCTCTTGAAAGTGTATCCGAGGACTTCCAATGTTAATGGGCTTTCATTTTTCCCTTGGTAATATAGCATTGCTTACTGAGTGTTTACCACTGGCACAGAAATCAAAGAGCATAGAGCAGCAAGGAGATCCAAATCGCTGCTTTCCCAAACTTTCCAGCCTTTTCTGCTATTACTTTTTAAATCTTCATTTGCCCTGGGGAGCGGAGAATTAATTTGACTGAAGAAGACAAATGACCTTGGTTTCCAAAAATTGTATAAATACAGTTTGATTAGATACTTCTAGATACTTGAAACCTTGACTCGAGAACACAGAGCCCTGGGCTGAGTCCAGCAAACGGGGTTTCATTGCTACGGGCCAGGGCAGGAGGCTCAGACACGTTGAGCACGCCTTTCTCGGGGCTCAGGAGCCAGGAGGGGAAGCACCTGTGATGGAGCCCGCGCTTGAAAGCAGAACGGGTGAAAATCCGAGTCAGGGATGCAGGTGGCCGGAGGAGAAGGGGCGAGATTTGAGCTATTGGACTTGGGGGGAAGGGGCAAGAAATAAAACGCGAGTATTTCCCATAGCTTTTCTGGCATATAATACAGTAAAGGACCCCGGGGGATGTTGTCATATTGAAAGAGAAGAGAGATGTTTGTCTCAAGTCAGGCAGAAGGCCGGGTAGAGAAGCATCTTACAGACTTAGTCCTTATTAATGTGCTCACTACGTACACGTTACTGTATGCGAGACCCTGCCCTCCCTTCTCACGCCTTCCGCCCCCCATATAACCAGCACCCGCCGTCACAGGATGCTTAGTCCCAAGTACAACTGTATCGCAAAGGTTTCCTGCCTGAGTCCCCCTCAGAGCAACACACTAAGGGGCCAGCTCTGCAGTTACGGCAGTGGAGAGCAGCTCTCACTGAAATCTTGCAGTGGAGGTCTTCATGTGCGTTGGGGTGTAAGGGCAGGCCAGGCCCCCTGGCTGCTACCTGTCACAAACGGTGGCCCCGTTCCGAGAGACGCGGGGCACATGCAGCACGCACGCGTGCCAGGGGGTGGGCTTCCCTCCGTGGGCCGTGGCCTGATAAGAGGCGCTCCAGCTGAGTGGTTTTGATTAGGGACTGAAAATGGGACACACGCTTGAGGTAGGGAATTAGTAAGGCAATGCAAGTGAGGCGTTTAATTAGCTCCTTACACTAGAAGCTCCTATTAGAAAACTCACCCGTTGATTTCCTCCGCCGAACTTCAAAAGTTCAGAATAAAGTTTCTTATTTTCTGTTAAATTTCAACAGGAAACATTTCTAGGACTTACAGCAACAAATCAGCGAGTTCTTTTTCTCCAGGGACCCCGCACCCACCTTTCCTATCTGGTATTGCAAGAGTAAGAGCCTTGTCATATTTTTTGTGCGTCAGGTCTTTGGCTGACAGCTTGCAAAGCTCCCCGCCACGTCTTTTCTTCCCCCCTCCCCTTCCTTTTTTTCTTTTGCCTGAATTGTATTTAATATAGGTTTGCGTTTCCAAATCTGGCAAGAAAAAATAAATAAACCAAGGTGTGTTTCAGATCATAGTTTTCTATTTCTCAACAGTCTGTAAAATATATACTGCAAGACAATGGAGCATGAATGGAGCAATGCTTTTGCTGTGAGGTTGCAGAAAGGTTTTTGCTACTAAATTACTGCTAACCTAGATCTTTGGATTAGGTGTTCTCTAACGGCACCTTAACACAGACTTCTGAAGTGTTACCAACTGTGTTGTCAGTGATTCACCAATTATGATATATATAATTCACCAGTCATAATTCATAATTGGTGAATAATTATGTCTAGATATATATAGATATGTATGTCTATCTCTATCTCTTTATATGTATATATATGTATATAAAGAGAGAGAGAGAGGGAGGGCGATATCTATCTATATTTATATCTATAGATAGATAGATAGATAGATAGATAGATATTCAACTGACAGGAGCTTTAACTGTGAATGGTTATGATCCCTGGAGAGACACATTTAACCAAAGGAAGCAGAAACCTATTATCTGGTTAAGAAATTTTAGTTGTTTTTTACGGATTCCCACCTTCCCCCTTTAAAGCAAGCAGGACCTCCGCTTAAGTTAGTTTTGCGATCGCTTTGCAAACGCTGTAGTTTTGTAAAGCCGTTTTCCGTAGGAATTATTCTTTTTTTCTTTAGCAAATGAAACCCCTTTAGACAGTGAAATTTTACTTTTTCTTCACACCTCATTAAAAAAATGAAGTGAACAAGTGATGCCTCTTCAGTAAGAGGTACTTGAGATCAGTCAAGGCTGATCTTGCAGAATTCTGTAACAGTTTTAGTTGATCCTTTCATTCTCAAAATACAATGCATTGCTTTACCTATTGCAAAAGCTGTGTTTTAAACCATTTTGAACTAGGGGAGTTCATCCATATCAACTGGACAAGTTTGTTCCGCTACTGCTATTTATTTCTATCCATTACCTGCCTACATCAGTTTACTTGTATAGGAGTGAAGACCCCAGCTACAAGCCCTTCCGGATTTTCTCATTTTGAAGGTCTCTCTTTGAAAAAAAGGTATAGTTTTCAGCATAGTCTAACATCATTATTTTCAAACGTGCGCGTCACATCAGGGAGCTGTGGGTTTTCCTATAAGGGGTTGGAGAAGATTTCTAGAAAGTTCAGGGGTAGGGAAAAGAAACCCGGAGATTTTTAAAAGCGGAAAAGGAAGCCTCCGTAAGCAGCGGTGGGAGACCGGTAATAGGGATGTGGAGGCTGCCTGGGAGCGCAGTGCTGCAGACTTCTTGGAGACCTGGAACGAGTCAGAAGAAACTTAGGAGCGTGCAAATTGGCAATTATTACAGCGACTTGGCAAAGGCGTGAAAAATAGCGCCCCTCCCTACAGGCGTTTGCTCCAGAGTCAGCCGGAGTCACGGACCTGTTAACACGCGATAAGTATTCCGAAAAACACTCGGGGGCATGCAGGCGCTGGCAGGGCAGATCCGCCTCTACTGAGATCAAGGGCGTCTTGTAGAGAAGAGTCCAAGTCAATACTTCAGGAATTGTCACTTTGCTCATTTTCTTCCATTTTTTCCC